GTGAGATCCATCGGCAAATCTAACAAATTTGGAGTCGGTAAACTCTTGGTAGTTTGTGAGAATATGGTCTCAACTTATGTGATTAGAAGAACTTGAATCTATTATTCAAAGTTAAAATCTTACATTTTTAACGAGATATGAGGAGGACATGGAACCTTGGTGTATCATCAAGCTAGTAGGCCACTCGGTCTGCTTGAAGAAAATTTCTTCAACAACACCAGTTGTTCTTTGGTGAAGGGGCTAGGGTCAGCTGACCTTTCATACGAGGTAGCAGAATGGGACTTCTGTCTAGATCTTTCCTTGTATGTCCAGGTTTCCAAACTAAAGACTTTCCATATTTTTTCTAGTTATCTTGGGTCAATTCTTGCATTTCAGAAATCAACTCATGTCTAGCTGCAACCAAGCTCCGAGCTTCTACATGTGCATATTGTAGCTCCACCTTTAGAGGCTCTTTAGCTCTAATGTCAGCTTCCATATTCCAAAATTTATCGAGCATTGCCATCATCTTCAATTTATGCTTAAATTTTCCAACAGATATGTGCTTGAAGCCGGTTGCTTCTATTGCAATAGGGGGTTTGAGGGCAACACAGTGACCCATGGAGGGCCTAGGGAGAATCCAACGGAGGGGGCCTACAATAGGGAGGATCCAGCTTCAAAGATGAAAGCAAGGGAAGGCTGGCAGGAATAATTCAACAGAGGAGGTCTTGCAATAAAGAAGATTCCGGTAGTTGGGAGAATTCGACAACAAAGAAAATAGAGGAAGGGGCCTAAAGAGAGAATTCCAGCTAAAAAGAAGAGCCTAGAAGGGTCTACAAGCCAGCTAAGGGAGTTTCAATGGCCATTGGAGAAGTTCCGGTGGCTGGAATAAGCTAGGGTTTGCTCCCACGCTCTGATACCTTCTAACTAAGTGAAGAAAATTGTGTTGTCTTATTTCTTGGTGATCAAATTACAATTCTTTGGGCAAACTTAATTCATACTATTACAACTTATCAAAGACACGACACTAAAAAAAGAAAGGAATACAACATAATAAGAAAGAAATAAGCCGAGAATAAATTTAAAATATGAAACTCAGAATTCCACAACAAACTTTACAACTGAGCCAAATTATTTCTACAATTAATTCGAATTAAGCAAGCAAATGGTATATCGAAAGCAAAACAATGGAGGAATTCAAATTTCTCAATCACTGAAACAGAGAAGAGAACAAGAACCATGGTGACGACACCAGGAAAAAAGAAAGTAGTCGTGGTAGCTTAACATCAGACCTTGGTGACGGATGAAGATAAAAACCTTTCTTGACAATGGCGTGATCCTCTGCTGACACGACGGCGAAGGCAAAGATTGATTAAAGAGTTCAAGAATGAAAGAAGTCACAGAACCTTCTCGGCAACAAGATATTCATTTTCTTTCTAGGCATGAAGACGGTCGTGCCCCCTCTGCTACCAGTGTCGGTCAAAGAAATGAGCAAGCTCGATCAAAGGAGAAAGAGAAAAGGGGAAGTAGCAGAAGATAGGTGTTATCAGAACCAGGAACATCATTTTTACTCTTAGGAGTAACCATTTTGTATTGCATGGCCTTCAATGAGCCAGGAGTAACCATTTTGTATTGCATGGCCTTCAATGAATCGCTAACTAATGAATATCAAAATCACTAATTTCCTTGTCAAACTCCAGAACATCATTAGAACATTGACTTCATTATCTTCCACCTCTATATTTTATATGCAAGTTTTTGTCTAGATTGACTAATGATCAATTTGATGACACGTAAACTTTATCATTACAAAACCTAAAAACCAAATGCAAATGTGGTAGTTTTTCTCTTATGATCCTTATTAATCAGTGTTATTACCCTTAAATGTCATAGATGCAACAAATTGAAATTGCCTATTTTCGAATTGAATAATACACACTTCTAGAAAAATGTAGTAATCTCTTCAAATAAAAAAGCTTTAGTATTTATTCAAAATCTAATTTAAGTTAAAAAATATGCCCAAGTGATAAAATGTAAAGATGTATCATCTGTCTTGATATTAAGTTTCAAACCAAATCTAAAAATTGTGCAATGTATTTTAGGATCTTGAAGGATCTTAGAACATAGCAATAGCTCATAAAATCTGTATATGTATTCAACAGAAATTTTGATAACTTACTTTAATGAATTAAATTCATCAAGAAAAATGAACTAATATGACAAAACTAAATATTTTTATTTAAAAGTCCTTTCATTTTAGCCCAAGAAATATAGGTTCATTCACAATCTTTCTTTTTGTCTTTTCAAGTTTATCGAATAATCTTTTACCTTGCCTAAATAATTACAGTTTTGCAAATCTTACTTGTTGCCTGTTAAAAAAGTAATCTAAATCAAATACCCAGCCAGTAAAAACTTTAGGATCAATTTTGTCATGATACATAGGCACTTCCAACTTAATTTTTCTAGTTCATTTACAATTTACATCAAAAAATTGACATCTATGAATTTAATAAGCATCATCGTTAAATTCCCCTTGTCAATTTTAATTATTTCTCTATCTCTAACAAAACTTAATATTCCAACGACGGGTTCACCCTATCTATTTGGATAAACTTTAGTTTCACAGGGCATGAGGCATGAACTTGATTAATCTTCCATGTGTTAATTTATGCTTTAACCATCTTAAAGATGTTATTGCTTGTTCAACAATACAGTCAATTAAATTTGGCAAGTTGTTAAAATCACATCCCTTTCACAATAATGTTATCTTGATAATTACTCAGCTCATGAGTAACAAATTCACACAATGCAGGATGACCAAGAGTTAGAATTATCTAATGTAGCTAATATGATGCTTAATTTGAATACATGCAAAAAAAATTTGAGAATTCACATATCATAAGCAAATAAATAATCCAAATACTTCCTTTCTTTGAATGTAAGCAAACAATACTGGACTTGAACTTTGCAATGATAATAAAATGTTAACCTGAAAAACAAAATCAGCGAGGATTCCAAACCTTATAAAATAAGTAATCACAATATAGCATCCACTAATTAACATTCTAATGTGCTGAATTTAAAAAATAATAATAATAAGACCACTAACAAAACAATATTAAATTATGTTCGATAAAATAAGAACAAGAAATGAGAAAACAGAAGAGGAAAGTGGGCCAGAAAATAGTAAAAGAAAATTACTTCACCAAAATTTGATAGCCGCACATGTACTGCACTCAAAGGAAATGACTTCAAATCCAATTTGCACAAACAAGATTAAAAAGATAAAAAAATGTATTAAGCCAAAGCTCCACATCTCATACCTCCAAACATTTATTTATAGACTTTTCAACCCCTAGGCTAATAGTATAATTGGCTTAAAAATCAACTCAATTCAAGTTCTAGATAATCCGAACAGATAGAAAATAATTCACCTTTTAATTTTAAATCCAAAATCCTCTTCCAATCATGCAGCTTCAGAACCAAAAAAAAAAAAAAAAAGTAAAACAAGAAAACCCCACATGAACCACACCACATGCAAGAAACATAAAAGTATATAACGATAACACTGTCACCCAAAAGAGAGAATTCCACAAGCTGTAATTCCAAATTTCTACTGCCCGAGAAAATAAGTCACCACTTCCCAATTACCAAGTAATATTGCATCAATTCAAACCCACCACCACCTTATTCCCCAAAGTCGCTATGGAAAACTAACCCAAATTGAATCAATACTAAAACTATGCCCAATCATATGAACTAACCTAAGCTAAGAGATACAATACATCCCTCTCATCCACCTTTACTAGCATTTAATCATAGAATAATCAAAATAAAATAAAATATAGACAAATAAACTGGTCAAAAATCAGTCTTTGATGCAATGTTTTCTATTAAAATAAAGAAGTAGATTTTCATCGCTAGCCAGTACCCAAAAAGTACCTTCAAAGCAACAACAACAATAACAAAAAAGCCTTTATCCAACTAAGTGGGATGGGCTATATGAATCCCTTTTCTCCATTGTGCCATATTTCGTTTAATTCTAATAAATTAAGATCATTTTTTATACAACAAGTCCAAGACTTTTTAGATCTACCTCTATCTTTCTTACATACGTTGAATTTAAAGCATCTACTCTCCTAACCAGTTCATCAGATCGTCGGACCAAACCATCTAAGAAAACTCGCTCTAATCTTGTCTGGCAATGGAGCTCCCTTTCATGGATGCATTTGTTTCACATTTTGTCACTAAGTGTCAAACCACTCATCCACCTAAGAATTTTCATCTCAGCAACAACTAACTTAGTTTTATGCTTCTCTTTCAAAGACCAACTTTTGTGTCATAAAGCATTGCAAGTCTCACCACAACCTTATAAAATTTTCCTTTAAGTCCAAGCGAAATTTTTCTATCACACAATAGGCCCGATGCATCCCTCTATCAACCATCAAACTTGAATTCTACTAATAACAACCCCATTTATATCACCATCACTTTGAACAAGGGACCTGAAAATGTTTACGACTTTTAATAATTTGGTCACCTATCGTTATAGCTCTGTCACTCGGTCTACTACTACAAAAATTACATTCCATGTATTCTGTTTTAGATCAACTCAAATGAAAACTTTTAAACTATAATGTAGACCTCCATAATTCAAGTTTCTTTTTAAGTCTTTCTATTTTTATCAACAAGAAGGATATCATCAGCAAAAGCATACACCGAGGTGCATCCCATGTAAATGTCTAGTAAGAACATCCAAAACTAAACCAAAAAGGTATGGGCTTAAAGTCAATCCCTAATGTAATCACACTAAAATAGAAAAATGTTTGGCCAATGCTCTTTACGTTTGAATACAAATAACAACTCTAATATAAAACATAATTACGATAAATTTCTAAAAATAAAATGAAACAAATTATGTGCAGCATAATGAAGATAATATCTCCCAAAAGACTTCCGCACATTTATCAAATAATAATAAAAAAAATCGTGGCAAATTCTTGTTAATAAGTTATTTTACTTACATTGATGAAGGTAGAATTCCATAGACGAAAAGAATGAGTGCAAACAACATTAGGAGTTTAGCAGCTGATGAGATAAACGTTCTTTCAGAGAGTAAAAACCAGTAATGCAACAGAAACAATACAAGTAAACAAGTAAAGGTCCTCCTGTCATCTCTCCATAATAATATGTCAGCCACTGCAACAGAAATCAATACTGAGTCAGGATATGAAAGATGGGTAACAAATGGAGCATAAATGATGATAAAGAAAAAAATCAAACTACAAATAAGTCAAAAATATGTTGAATCAGTGTTGCAAATAAGAAATTCATTTTTTTTCTACGCAAAGACTAACATCTAAATCATGATAATATGAATTTCAGTGCTGCACAAAAAATTTCCTATAATTTTAATTCTTTAAAAGAAACTTGATCAATACTTCACTACAACTTGTGTATAAGAATTTGTAAAACCAAAAATCAGTCAACTAAGTTGCTCATCCCACCCCTTTCATTCCCAAGTAGATTCTCCGCGTTGGATGGTTTGGTCAGATCATGCCAGTTCACGTCAGTAATGCCATTAGCTAGTTGCGAGAATGATGCTATAGTTAATGTAACGCCATCCTGGATAAGTCCAAAAATAAAGAAACAAAAAATCAAAGTTTAATGAATTCTCAACATAGAAAACCATTCCATTTCATAATTTTTACAAGGTTGAAACCGACATTACAACTATAGAAATACCCATCCATAACACAGGAAAGCACATTCAAAGATCAAATAAAAATTATGAAGAGATTGCATAATGCAAATCAATGCTCTTGAACAAATACACCGTCAGGCAAAACTGAAAAAGAAAACATGAGGGTCCAATCACAAGAGAGCTCATTACAATAAAAGGAATTAATTCGATGTTAGAATCAGCAATTGAAAGAAGAACAAAATGTGAACCTCTAGTGAAACAACTGGGGAATATCCGATAACTCTTTCAGCATTAGAACAATCAAAGGTCCTTGTGCCTGTAAATGATCGAATTGTGGAAGCAGTAACAAAAGGATTGGAAGTTTTGCATGAAAGCAACTTCTCCTGAAAGAATTTGGCTACCTCAGCAAGAGCCAAGACAAAATTGGCTGGAAGATGGATGCTTGGCCTGAGAAAAGATAAAAATAGTCAACTCAAAAGTGCATACATAAAATTGCTAAACACTTAGAAAATATGATAACGTTCCAAATTATACTAGGTTAGTTTGAGTAAGCATTTGAAAGCACAGTTTCTTCCATTTCCTTCAGATCAAAAAATTAAACTGCAGCTGCACTTCACATGTGAATTAATGCTCAATCATATTCTGTGCATAACATTGTCACCAGATTTTGGTTCTATTTCTGATTATGCTATCAATTAAACGCTCAAATTACAAGCCAAGTGAATTTGTAAGGAAAATAAACAACGAGCACTGCTAACAAAAATTGCAGATATCATAAGAAGGTGTTTTGATATGTCAGTTCTTAAATTCATTGCAAACCAAATAAAATAGCTTGGCAGGTCTCAGCAACCATCTAACAGCTTCTGCAACGAACAGCGTCAATTTATGAATAACAGCTCCAACTTATAATTCCTCCACCAGTATATAATCACTATGAGTGCTCAAAAACCAAAATGCTGTCATTCATTAGAAACAAAAATATAAAATATAACACAAATTAATAAAAAAACACTAATCATTAATACTAGAGGAATATTTAGAATTTGGCCACTGGGCCTAATTTTTATAATCCGTTAGACCTGTCTAGAAGGAAAGATGAAGATAAAAACTTCATAGATCAGTAAGGCTTGTTTAAAATAAAATATCTAGATCTAGGGAATAAACACGTGAAGAAACACCTGAGGTGGCCTTTTGCACTGGAAATGGCGATACAAACATGAACAAATATAATTGAATATCATATCAATTACAATTAAAAGTAGCCTCAACAACAAAAAAGCCAATTATAATAAAGATCATACTACATGCCCTTGCAAATATGCAAATGCAACCATATCTTGAACTACAGTAATAGCTTGGCAAGTCAACATAAACCCCAGCAAAAAGGAATAAAAAAATATACTCATAGACTCACCTTTGGTATCCCAAGCCTTCCAACATGATAGAAAGAAAGTCCCAAAACATCATAGGTTCTTGATTTGTGATGAAAAACGGCTGTCACAGAAGTTTCAAGCAAAAAAACTATCAGTTTACCAATCAATAGAAAATCAGGGAATATTAATAACCAGCTACAACCAGATCGTGATACCTTTCCAGCCACATAGGGTGTTCCCAGTCGTAGAGCTTCATCTGCACATATACTAGCATAGGCAACATTCTCAATGTATGTAAAGTCCCATGAATTTTTACCACTTCCAATGATGAACTGAAATTACAAGATTTGATTAGTTAAAACAAAACTGATAACTTGAACTGGAAAGCATGATATAGCACAAATATGCAGAAGAACATTCGTAGAAAAGAAGGAAAAAACCGTGCAAAAGGGTAAACTTTACTGAAATTCAACAGGAATTGAAGATAAAAAGGAACAATAGAAAGTAAAATGTATACTTGTCCATACAGGAAAAGTGTCTACTCAATAACAGTGCTTATGTATTTATAACCAGAGTAAATACTTTTGTCACAGGGAATCCTAGTTGTTATGGATGAATGTCTGGGATGCGTTGGTGTTGGAGGATGGCATAAGGAGGCTGAGTATTCTGACAGATGGTTATGCTGGTCATATGCTGCCTTTACCGCCCCACAAGATGATGATCCTACTTGGATTGTCAGGTTGGAGCTGGGGAATAAGAATCTAGCAAATGATAATGATTTTTTGAAGAGATCAGCCAATTGATCCTGAGAGCTAATATGCTGAACGAGGAGCATTTTTACCTTGAAACAGTCACAAATAAAGAGATGATCGTCTTCGATGTGTTTGGTGCGGGCGTGAAACATAGGGTTGCTGACTAAGCCAATGTCTGTGATGTTCACTGTGGAGAAGAATGTTGTGGTTGATGGGAAATGACAAATTCACCAAGTAAATGACACAACAAGATAACCTCGGTAGCAACTAAAGCGAATGCCCTGTGTTCTACTTCAGTGGAGAAACAAAGCAATAGAGTTTTATTTCTTTGCACTTCGTGATATAAGATTGATATCGATAAAGATGAAATGCCTAGTTGTGGATTTACTGTATATGGAGTCCCCCCGCCCAGTCCAAATTAGTGAATGCTTCAAGAGTGAATGCAGATGTGACGTCCTGTTTCAAATACCATAGTGAACCGAAGAGGGGGAGAGAAAGCGAAAAGTTAGGAAACCGAAGAGGGTGGGAAGAAGCGAACTGTCGGAAACTCAAAGGTCACTTGCATTCTATTAGAACAATGCATGTAAAGAAGACGAGGCGAGTTCTACATCATAAAAAAGCTTGAACCCATTCAAAGGAGAGGGGGATCGAATGGCTAGGGCAAAGACATGTGCAGTGGTAACTAACCTCGAGTGCACTTACAAAGCCGAAAAACAAGAAGATCGCAAACCAGGAGAAAATTTTACATACTTAGTCCGGTCGTAGCTCTGCTTCTCGACTCCAATAATGTGTCTAGACTCCAATAAAATTAAGTCAAATGTACAAATTTTAAAAAAACACTTACATTTCGACTAATAAATTTATAATTTTTTAAAGAATGGGCCACTGAAATACACTTGGAGTTGTGTTATTGGAGGCCGGACACAGAGTTGTGTCTGGACTCCGTATGTAATTTTTTTTCTCAAACCAGGACTTTCTGCACATGTTCGATGTCGGGGACGAGGGTGACGCCGCTGTTGTGCAAAGGAGGAGGTGAGTGCAGAGGTTCCTCCGCGTGTAATGACACTCAATCCAGCCGATCGAGGCGAACAAGAAGAACGGGGAAGAGAAGCAGTGCACTCCCTGAATGGAAGAAGCAAACCTATGGAAGGAGTTTTCCTGTACGCAAAAGTTAAATACAGCAAAAGAGGAGGAAGATGGGTTCACGTGCATGAAAGGGGCTTCGACCTAGGCCTCTGACAGCTCCGTTCGAAGAGTTGTTGTGTCCGCCCTGAGAGCCGCGAACTCAACCATGTATTCCTGGCGAAGAGCAACATGTCCTTCCCTTCCTTCAGGTCCGCTATGGCAACCTCCATTTGTAGGCCAGCTTCCCAGGCTAAGAAGTCCACTGTTTCGTCCAACTAGCGAGCCAGCAGTGCGGGTGATCCTCGCCGACCATCGGTCAACCTCTTGACGTTCATAGAACCAAAGAAACATCAAGTGACACCTCCTCCATGAACCAAAGCGAAAAGTCCCTTAGCCGCCTCAAAAGCTGAGGGATGGTTGATGGCTGCAAAAAGCACCGCGAAGCAAGCGGCCACTTCACGCAAGTATACGTGTCCAAGTCGTAAGCAGTTTTAAAGGAGTACTGCATACCATTTTCATAAGGAAGTTGTCAGCCGGGAATTTCGAAAAAAGAATTTGAATTTGAATTTAAGTATATATAGATATAAATGTAATTTTGATTTAAAAAAAAGAATAGTATTTTGATTTTAAAATAAATGAGACCAAATAGGTCTCACATATTGGACAGTTTGGTTGGCTGAACGTGATATCACAAGTAATACACTATCCCGAAAAATAAGCATATCACTTGTAGTAGATTCAACCACCCAAACCAAAGAATTTTGTGACATCTATTTAGTCTGCGAAACTTTTTATATGAGACCGACAAGTTCCCCTACTTAATATTAAAATTAGATGGGGTTTATTTTACCTGTGTTCCAAGTTCCCTATAGAGGCAAGCCGTTATAGTTAATCACATCTTAAACTTAAGAAAACTCTTGATTAAGATTAGTGATTCTGCCTTCAAAATTTCAAAGTTTAGGCTTGCAAGATTGGACACGAGAAAGAACGAGAAAGATAAATGGGAGTGGTTCAAATAAGAACAGTTATTTTAAGGAATCCAAAGAAAAGAAGAGTAGGGGATATCAAGAATCCGAGAACCCCGGTGACCTCCCAACTATCCTATTGTTAAGCTTTATGTCTTTGAAATAATGTTATTCAATGTTTACTCCTACAATTTATTTTAGAATTTAGGATTTACATTCGCACGATATCTGATCGTGTAAATAGCATAGAAATATAAAAGGATTTACACCGTATCGTACGTCAACATCAGAATCCTAAAAAATATTAGGACTTATAATTGCACAATAAGGTTGTACAAAAACCTAAAGACACATGTGAGGATTTGTGTTGCGTCAGGCGAACCACCTCAAAATCCTATAGTTTGTTATTTAAACTAAGGAAAATGTTTAGTTGTCGTAGACTTGTTGTACTGTTGTAAATCGCCATCCCCGTCCGCTAAGTCCTAGTCGTGCTGCCCACGAAGAGTTATTTCATGCTCCATGTAGTAATAGTTTTAGGTCCAGTGTTTTATAGGTGAGCGTGCAATATTGTTATTTGGTGACTTACCACTATATACCTCCCAAACTTGGCTATATCCACAATATTTTATAGCTAATTTAAAACATACATAAACTAAATATGTTATATGAAAGTTCAGTAAATTAAAACAGTATAAGGTGCGGTAAATAAAAGAAGTATAAAGGAAATGCAGTAAAGTGCTATAAATATACTACTATAAATTTTGGGTACTTGAGTTTCTTGTTATTGTTGTACCTGTAAATGGGATCAGCGTCGAAGGTAACAGTATAGTAGAGAAATTTAGCTAACATGACAACCATGTATTTATGTATAACATAATAAATGACGGAGTAATATATGGAAAGCCCTGAGGATAACTGAAAAGTGACCCACATACTCGAAACAAATCGTAAAAAAAAAACACAAACAAATAAAACAAAACACAACATCACGTATAAGGGATCAAAGATGGGTGATTTATATGTGACGTTGGGAATGTCCCCAATTGTCAGGAGAACTTGAGTGTAAGATTCAAGCTCAAATCTCGGAGCATTGGGTTTCATTTTAGGTTAAGTTATGACGAAAATTTTACTAATTGATTTAATTAAATCAGTCATGAATCACAGCCTGGTGTATATCTTGTCTATTGCTTTACTAATTTATGAATTAGGGTCGGGTGTCTAGCTTTATTATCCATTTGAAAATTAGGTTGATGAACTATCACCTAGAGTGTGCTCCTAAAATCTAGAAAGCCTACACTTTAACTTGAGGTTGAAGTATTTTAAAGTGCTTTCTTCAATTAAGTGTTTTCCAACTAATCCTCGAACATCTTTGGATCAAACTTAGCTCACTATTATGCTCTTAAGGCCGAGGGGGTAAACTTATGATTTTATCAAACAGGTTCATGAAATATGCTTCAATCCTAGTTAAAACAGTTGGGTTTTAGTCTAGCCAATGATTAGGAGTCCTAATTAATAACATACTGATCTTTCAATTTATGTCCCTAACTCTTGAATCATTTAAGCTCTTACTTTCTCCCAATTCTAAACAATTCTCACACTTACAATTTTATCTTTCATATGTAAAAAAAATAGTTAATGCTTTGCTACCCTATTTCCCCTTGAGTTTCAATCATCTCAACAGACTAATTATCATTGTTTTTCTTTTAGTTTTCTCCCCTCTGATTAACCCATTTTTCTAAAGGCGTGAATCAGTCTTGAAAATAATTAATTCAGAAATTCTTATTTTTAACTTAACAACTAGCAAGAAAAAGGAAAACAAAACCAAATGAGCGGAAGAGGTCGACCCACTGAAACAAAATCAGCAAAGCCAGAAGTGAAACCGCAAGTGAATCGGTCTAAAAACGTTTAAATTCTTTCAAAAACAAATAATCAAATCAACTCCCAAAACATCAAGCAAATTGGACTCGAAAAGAGCATTTGAAGCTTTCAAAACAACAAGAATATAACATTTAAAATGACGTAAAAGTAACGTTTGAGACTTCCAATTTAGTATTGAAGAGAAGACCCAAATGAAACAATTCAAATTTTCAAAAAGAAAGAAACTCCAAAGACTTTCAAATCTTCAAAAATCAAAATGACTCAAAAAGACTTTCAAATTTTTCAAATAAAACACTTAAAGCTTCCAGGTTTTGTAAAAGTAAAGTATTGTCACTCTCCCAAACTTTTCAAATAGAGTTTGAAAAGTTTCAGATTTTTCAAATGTAAAGCATCAAAGTATTTGTAAACTTTCCAAATTTTTCAAGTAGAACACTTAAAGCTTCCAAGTTTTGCAAAAGTAAAGAATTGCCACTCTCCAAACTTTTCAAATAGAATTTGAAAAGTTCTCAGATTTTTCAAATGTAAAACATCAAAGCATTTGTAAATTTTTCAAATTTTCTAAATAGAACACTTAAAGCTACCAAGTTTTGCAAAAGTAAAGCATTGCCACTC